AAAATAGTGCGCGTAATAATCAAAATGAAGGACCGCGCAGTCGAGCATACTTGGTGCCGGTGAGAAAGGAAATCGTATTAAATTAAAAGGGTTGGTTTGAATCGATTGCGCTAAGCTGCCTCATACGTACATGACACGTAATTGAATATGCATGAAACTGGACATATATATCACGGCACCGCTTCGTTTTTTCTTGTTCGCTTCTTCTTTTGATTTCATTTAATGCGTCTTTCTTGTTAGTTGTCGTGGTGTATGTGAGTGTCTTTGCCACTCTAGTTACATCGTTTCTTCATATCTTGTTTTCAGATTTATCGCGTCGTTTTTTCCACCGCGATACATTTCTCGCATTTTTTCATACTTGGCTTCACTTCTGGTTCGGCACACCGAAATTTATTTTGTTGTCCATGCACACACGAAAATGGTGCGCGACTCTTGTTTGCATTTTACTGTTGTGTTTTTATTGCGATTATTATTCCATTTTCCTGTTTTTTATGGATCTCTCAAGTCGATCCGTATCTACCGTTTCGTAGATATTGTTGTGCGTGCGCGTTTCTTCACTTATTCGATGGTAATGACGCGGACGCTCGCGTGTTTTTTCTGCTCTTTCCTTCGTTTCGAAAGCATATACCGTTTATATGATTTATTCGCCTCTTACTATTCGCGCTTTTCTTCATTTTCAGCATTCCTTTTGTCTGTTTCTATTGTTCGATTTTTGTGTTTTTTTGTTTGCTTCACCGCTCACTGTCCATGTCCACTCCATTGTCAAATCGCAACGAAAAAATTAAAACAAGACTCTCACTCATGATATAAATCCAAGCATGCAAGGATCAATGAATCCTTTTGTTTTTATCCTTCCATCAGTGTTGTGGGAATATTTTTTGAATAAGAAAAAAACTTGTTGGAACAGCGGAAAATTGGTCATTATGCATGTGTTCAATTCAATAAAATACAATTTATCGCGATCGGAACGGCCATTGGTCAGTTTTAGTGGAAACCAGATATTTCGCGCTTTATCAATGCACTTTATCGCAGAGTTTTTTAACGGATTTTTTTTTCGTTCAACGGTTCATTCGCGCCCATGACCTGAGGTACTTAGCAAATCAAGATTTTTTTTTTTAACGATGACCATTAATGCGTGAGAAATGATCGCGTTTCAAGAGCGATTTGAACCGCTTTTTTTAATATCACATTTATAACGGCCATTAAGATTGAGTGTGTAAATATTTTTCCGGCATTTATTTGTTTGGTTTATTTATTTTTCACATTTATTAAATATTGTTGTCATAATGGTTAAAGATGCCACTTGAGCCGACTTGTTTGATGCAATAAAAATCGCGGATCGTTGAACGACCATAAATCTCGAAACTATGAGAAACGCATACAACTCCCAATTTTATATTTGATTATCCAATGCGATGCGATGATCGAATGGCCGAATGACGAAGGGGCGATGCATTTTGTTGCAAGCAAACCCAACGGCAACGAAAAATGCAAATTGCATCTCGCTACTATCTACCCAATGTAGATTTATAGACGAATATTAAACGAATGATCGAAAAAAATACTCAGATAAGCAGCCTTCTTCGTAACTGCCGAACATAACTACCTTTCATTGGTAAGAAGAAAAAAATCAGAAGAGTGAACGCGTTTATTAATCGTGTGAATTGAATCAACGAATGTATTGGAAACTATTTTAAATTTTATAGGTACGTAAACACAAGTCGACTCTTAAACGAAAAAAAATGCATTAATTTTTAAAACGGGGCGATATGTGCATTCGAAGGCAGACGAACTGCGTGATATAAAATGCAAGTCGTTAGCGTACATCCATTCGCTTGAGAATATGAACTCACTTAATCAACCCTTTCCCGTGGTGTTTGAATACTGTTTTTTTCTTCATTCAGCCTTCGTTTTTTTTATCTCGAAAATATCGCGCGCATTTTAACACATTCGCAACAATGCATTCAACATAATTTCGATGATTTGCAACATAATTTCGATTTTTTTCTGTGGTGTGCAAAAATCCTTTGTCTTTATTTTGGCTCGATGACACATTTTTACAAATTCACTGGAGTATAATGTTTTTCATCCACTTTTCTTATGGCAACACGTCCATTTCATACAGATGATTCTTCTTCTTTTTTAACATTTTTTTGGCACAATGATTTAGATGTTTCTTTTGACTATCAATAAAGATCTTTTTCCGCCGTCAACATTCAAAGGAATACAGTAGCCAAAGGTCAAAGTGGCCCACCATGAGGTTTTTTTCTGTCATTATTTTTCCATTCATATTTTTTTTTTTTGCTCGGTATACATGAACTTTAACCATTTTAACATTTATCCACAAATTCTATGGGCACATGCAAATTTGCACTTAAATGCTTGTGTATTTGGTTGGAAAATATAACCGAAACATTTTTCACAAAATTTGCATAATCGGTGGAAAAAAAGACCATACCAAATTCGATGCGACTTAAAAAATCCCTTCATTTTCTTCTCGTTATTTCTTTTTCTACTTTTTTAGCAATAAAATCGCGATAAGTAATGAAAAATACCATCCGAAATTTGATGGAAAAACGGGATTTGATAGAAGTAGATGATAGAACATAGCAACATCAAACAAATGAACGGGAGAGAAAAAATCTGATCTCAACATTTATCTGCACGATTTCGTGGCAAAAACTTGTTTTTTAACTAGCGGTTTTAGTTGCACACGGGCATCATGTTCTCAATTTCGATTCGCTCAAAAGCATATCATACACACAGAGATTTGATACAGCTCGTTTTCGAACAAACGGGAAAAAAATGAAGTGAAATAGCAGCGAATAAATGTTATTCTGTTGCTTTCATCTCCTCATTTCACGTCTTTTTATGCATCAAGAGATGGTTTAGTTTTTTTTGTTGTTTTCATCTCCCTCGGTTAGCCGTTAATGTGTGTGAATCACCCTACCTAATGGAGGTATCACGTAATATTATTTTTATTTTATAAAATTCGCTTTTGAATCTTGTTTCCCAAAATGTGGTCGCTTGTGAAGAGATCCGACGAAATTTCTGGTTTTCACGTGAAAATTGGTCATTTTGAGATGAGTAAAATCGACGTAAAAACAAAAAAACGCGACCGTTTCTCAACATATCATCAATTTTAGGCAGCAACAGTAAAAGGGTTCGCATTTCTATTGTTGCCCGTACATGAATTAATTAGAATTATTTTTTCGGTGGTTAGCAACTAAGGATGCGCACATAAAATATGTAACAAATGCTTTTCTAATGCTCGACCGACGAGAAGAAATGAAGTAGGAAAAAAATGAGAAAAGAAAACTTTTGATACAGGCGCGAGAAATGTGTGATGTTAATTCTAGCATCGATATCAAATGTCAATGTATGTGGATGTGTCGAACGTCGTTCTTTTCGGGTGTTTTCTAGGTGGTTGAATGACCCAAATAAACCGCTGTTGTCGTTGTTTCAATTACGCAATCGACTCGTTTCATTCCCAGAATGATGTTGTTCGCTTGACGACGGCGACAATCACAATGAAATGTTTAAACACACGCGGTTTTGTTACGTAAACAATTTCCCAGCTGAGCGAACGAAAGACAGCTAAAAGATGAAGAACAATAGCGTTTGATATCATGTTCGCGTCTTTGAATGTTCACTTGGCCGTGAAAGAGTTATGGCTGTTGGTATGCGTGTGATAAAGAATTATACAATAACGGCGATTGTTCATTTTTCGGACTCTCACCGAGCTAGTTTCTTTTTTTGGCATTGTTTTCGCATTCAGCTTCGTTTGGTTGTCATTTGAACAGATCACCCTTGTTGCTACATCACGATGATGACAGCATTGCCATCAGTTGCTACTGTTTTCTCGTGGCTATAAATTAGGAAAATCTTTAATAAAATTGTATTTAAAATACTTTACAAATGAATTATGGCCATAGTTAAATACGAAAATCCATTTACAGATGTTCAAAATTAATGTGTTTGGAGAACACTCGCGTAGAACACTGATATTTTCATTAGCATCCTGAATGAAAGACCACTTGGGCTGATTTTAACGAAACTTTTTTTTCTTCAGGTGTTGTCGACATTAAATTATGATTTGATTCAAAATAAAAAAAGGATTTTCGTTTTGTCCCCAAGCACACATCCTGGCAATAAATATTGACAAAAAGATCGTAATAGATCATCTTAATATATAATTTACGACGTTGAAGCTCCGATTGCGTCGTCCGTTTTATTTCATGCAGCGAAAGGGATTAAAAAGAAACATTGAACAAGAATAGAGAGTGAAGAGAAGTCGAAGGAAATGGAAGAGAAAGGAGAATAAATCTATATTACTACTTTGTCCCTTGACAATTATTTTGAATATTCATTTTTTTTTAGTTTTCGCAATTAATTTAAAACAGTTTGGAATTATCTGTTTTATTTTGAATTTTTTGTAAAGCACTTTCCGAACCAACGTTCATTTGTACTATTTTCCATTAAAATTTCAGATTTTTTATAGTTTCAAATAAACGTAATTTTATTTATGTTCATTTTACATATGGATTCTTATTTAAAAATAGAATGGTAACAAGTGGTCTATCTGAATCAAGCGAAAATTTTGTATCATTTTTGTTTATTAATCAATAACTGAGTTCATTTTTCTTGAAGAATTTGGAAATGTTGACATAAAAATTACGCTCGATTAAGTTTTAAAAAAAACAATTGATTCAATTTTCCAAAAAAATGTGATTTATGCTCGAATTTTATTCATTTCGAACGCTCAGTAGAGTTCATATTTTCAGAGAGTTCATTGATTTATTAGATAAGTAAAGGGCGGGCCATGTCATACCACAACTATAGCCAAAACTAACGATACCAACTATTGTGGCTTAATTCGGATCGTTATTGGGGATAAGTTGAAGTGGACCTCCACTATCTCCTGACTAGAAATGATTTTTTGACATTTTAAAATTTTGAGATGATTACAATCGTGTTTGCGGAAAAGTAAAAACAAAATGTTACTTTTAAATGTATTCAAATTAGAATAATTTCTTTATTTAGTTTCTCCATGCACAGTTTCCGTTTTAAATAATCATTATTTCGTTTAAGTTGGTTTCCAGTTATTAATTGTTTTCGAATTAAAAGTCGGTTTCGGGTATGCGGTTACATCTTTAGCTGGTTTCGAACTTTCACCCTTCAAGCTTTCTGCTTTCGAACTCCCTTTTTTCGAAATTTCTGCTTTCTTCTTTTCAACAAATTGAACTCCATTTGATTTGGAACTTTCCGATGTCTGAATCTTTGATTTTGAGCTGGAAGTTTTAGACTTTTTGTCCAGTACTGCTGTTGTTTTGGACTTCGAATCATTATTTTGGGTGGAACTTGCGACCTTTTTGTATAGTGTTTTCAAACTTGTTTTTAGCTTCGAAGCGCTGTGTTTAGTGGAAGTTGTCACTTTTTTGTCCAGTACCTCTGTTTGTAATTTCGAATCGATATTTTGAGCGGAAGTTTCAACTTTTTTGTCCAACATTTCTATTCCCAATTTCAATTTAGAATCAATATGTTGATTGGAAGTTGCAACTTTGCTGTCCAGTATTTCTACGCTTGATTTATGTTTCGAATCGATATGTTGGGAAGAAGTTTCAACTTTTTTCTCAAATATTTCTACGCTTGTTTTCAATTTGGAATCGATATCTTGAGTAGAAGATGCAACTTTGTTGTCCAATATTTCCACACCTGTTTTTAACTTCGAGTCGATATGATGAGTTGAATCTGCGACTTTATTGTCCAATATTTCCAATTTTTCTTTCAACTTTGAATCGATATGATTAGCAGAAGTTTCAACTTTTTTGTCTAATATTTCTAAGTTTGTTTTTAACTTCGAATCGATATCTTGCGTGATGGTTGCGACTTTTTTATCCAGGATTTCCACATTTGCTCTTAAGTTCGAATCGCTATGCTGAGGGGAAGTACCAACCTTTTTGTCCTGTTTGTCTGCCTTTGTTTTTTGCTTCGAACCCGCTTTCACACCTTCATTCTTTAGTACTTCCTACAAAAATAGATAGTCAATCATGAAAGCACATTTTTAAACAATAACATTTTCTCACATCACAATCACAACCAGGTGGTAGCTGACCGAAGTCGCGTTCAAAATAGATCTGCAAAATTAACAATCGAAAATTAAAATGTGAAGCAGAAATATTTATAATACGTACTCTTCTACGTGTCGGTAAATTTTGTACGTATTCCGAAGACGTAGGTTCAGTTGGAGGTGCCACGTCAGTCCCAATTTCAGTATACTTAATACATAAACGTCTACATATCAGTAATTTTTTTTCATAATCCGAAGAAGTAGGTTTAGTTGGAGGTCCCACGACATTCGCAATTAGAAACTATTAAAAAATATATAATATTTTTAATTTTCTATTTTGCTGCAGAGAAAAACAATTTACCTGAGATATCACGATCCCAATGAAAAATGGAATAAACATCTTTTCAACTCAATATTCTTGCGTGCAGTTTACAATAGAAATATTTCTAAGTAGACTGATCAAGCTACGTCGATTTATATATTCTTTTGAATGTGCGCAACAAATATATGTTCCACGTCCTCTGCGAAAAGCGTAAATGTTTTATGATGGAATTTATAACAAAGTTTGCAATCCATTTTCGCTCAACTAATATTTCTCCAATACTTTCTCTCACATTCTACAATTCACAAGTGAAGAAATATTTCGACGATATAATTATATGACGTCAATTGTAACTTTAAAAACAATGGATAATGTTTGTTGAAAACTCAAAAACATCATTTAAACACGTTTTTTGATCTCAAATTGCTATTAGATGATTCAAAAATACGTCACGCGATAATTTCTATCTAAAGAAGAAAAGAATTGATCAAATCGTAAAAAAAAGAGAAGAATTGATATTTTCATTAACAAACTACTCAAAACTTTGCTTGGGATGGCATACTTGTCATTATATTGGCAAGCAGTTGTCACCAAACTATGAATGGACAGAAAGGATTTTTTCGCTGGTCACTAAGCACATTTAATGGTAATAATTGAAAAAAGATCGTTATAGAACATCTCAATTATCTGTTGGAAAACGAAAACTAAGAAAGATGTTGATTTAATACCACGATTTTTTGTTCATATTCATCGCTGGTGAAAATTCAGAGTTAAACTAAAAGCAGTGCATACTTTCGAGATCCGAACATATTTTTAAGGAAAATAAAAAACCAAATATTGCATTTGTATGTTCACTGAAGCCAGAATAATTTATTTGAGTTTAAATGATTCTATTTAAGTTGGTTTCCAGTTGTTAATAGATTTCGATCTGAAGTTCGGTCTCCAGTATAAAACTGGTTTTTGATTGTCTTGTGTAGCGCTACTATCCGGCTTTGAACTTTCAGTCTTCGAACTTTCTCCCTTCGAAATTGACTTTTGCTTTTGCACTACTTTCGGACTATTCGGTTTGGGACTTTGTGGCTTTGGGATATCTCCTTTGGGACTTGCAATTGATCTCGGACTGTCGACTTTTGGAATGGAAATTGGAGTGTATGGTATGGAACTTTCTGGGGATGATCTGGGGCTGGTATCAAGCTGTGGAGAAGTTCCCACTTTTTCATCCTGTGTCCCCACCTCCATTTTTAACTTCGAATCATTTTGCACTTTCTGTTCCTCTTTTTCCACGTTTGGCTTTAATTTTGAATCACTATGTACGCGGATATTCCTTTTTAGTTCCTAAAAAACACAGATATTCAATTATGAAAGTTATATTCAACGTGCATTTTTTTTAAATTAACATATTCTTACAATGGAATCATAATCAGGAAGCTGACTGAAGTCGCGTTCAAAATATATCTGTAAAAAAAAAACAAATTAAAACAAGCTGAAATATTTTCAATAAAATGAATACATGCCCTTCTATGTTGCGGTAATCTTTGTACGTATTTCGAAGAATTGGGTTTAGTTGGAGGTGCCACGATATTCACAATTAGAAACTGTTGAGAAAAAAATAATATTTTACAATTTTCCTTTTGCTTTAGAGAAAAACAATTTACCTGAGAAATAACGATCCCAATGAAAAATGGAGTAAACATTTTTTCAACTCAATATTCTTGCTTGGAGTTTACAATAGAAATATTTTTAAGTAGACTGATGTATTCCAACAGTCTTCATCGCTTTATATATTCTTTTGAATGTGGGCAAATGTATATACACGTGTTGTGCGAAAAACGTAAATGAACTCCAGAATTTTTTAACACATATACCCAGAGTTTACATTCTAATGCATAAATAAAGAAATAATTGACAATATAATTGTATGACATCTGTGACATTATAATTGTAAAAACAAAATATACACTGTTTATTGAAAACTCAAAACATGTGTTTCAATCTCGAATTGCCATTAGATGGTTCAAAAATACGTCACGACATTTTCTATCTGAAGAAGATAGAAGAATTGATATTTTCATTAACAAACTCAAAACTCTGCTTGGGATGGCATAATTGTCGTTATATTCCACAGAGCAGTTGTCATTAAATTATGAATGAAGCGAATGGATTTTCTCGCCGGCCCTAAGTCACTAAGCACATATCATGGCAATAAAAATTGACAAAAAGATCGTAATAGATCATCTTAATACAAAATTTACGACTTTGATGCTCCGATTGTGTCCGTCCGTTTTGCTCCGAATGCCACGATAGAAGAAGAAGAATCACCGGGAAAGAGGGATGTGATCGATAGAGAAAAAAATCTCTTCGTTTTTTGTCTCTTGATAATTTATTGATTCAAAAAAACAAAACCCAGTGACGACCAAATTCGGATCGAATGTCCTTTTCGTCGCTCAATTCGAAGATTTAAATCAGTATTTCCACCCCTGTGTGACACAGTAAATCTTCTTTTACTTTCGCCGTTTGTTTGCTTTTTTTTATTGCTTTTTAATTTTTTACGTTCGTTCACAACTCAGTCGGGTTCGATGCTGTTGTTTATCATCGGAATGCATAGTTATTTATGGGTCCAAGCTCTTTCAACTTTTATGGCACGACGACATGCAAATCTATATGATATAAATCTATTTTCGAACGGGTTTAAGACTCCTTGCTCCGTTCGCTACCTGCACCATGTGAAATAAATATGCTTGGAAATTATGAATTTCAATTATAAATTCCATCATATTCACTTTAGAACTTTATAATAATCGAATATCGTCACATTAACCGAATGAAACAAGAGACAGAATATATCGTGCATTTACCACGAGATGTACGATCTACCAGAGGGGATGTGTTTTACATGCGTGCGACTATAAATTATATTAACTGAAGGTAAAAACAAACCATAGTCAATGCAAGTCGTTAGAACAAAAAATTCAAATGCGCGCACTACTTTCCGAAAAGAAGAAGAAAATCAAGGCGAAAAAATGCATGTTCTCGCGGGTTAATCACATGAGTTATATGTGTGTGATCCGTCGTTGCAAAAGATTTATGACATTTTGTTGCGGTTTTCCAACAATGAAACCGTTAAAAATTGGTACACACGTAACCCATTTTCGGTGTTGCTTCAGGCATTGCATCGATGCAATTGTTTCGACACATCGTGTTTTAGCGCGCGCCTTTCTAATCGTTTTCAAAACAAATTTTACGTAAAATCATTTTCTTTCTATTTTACGTGGTTGCTCTTGTGTCTTTTAAATAGATACTGTTTACAGCTCAGTCAATTCTTTTCTTTCTCTTAAAAAGATTGCCAAAATTATTTTCACTTACAATTAACTTCGATGAAGCCAATCCATTGCAAAAATCGTACACCCAATTCGAACCAGTAGTGAACGGTTCGTTCTGTTTCCCGTCAGGAGCACATTGTGTCAAATAAAATCAATTCAATCATGATGGCATATTGAACGCTCATATACAATGTGCATGTGCGCAAAAAGAGGCAGTTCATACGCACTCGATATGATATTAATCGTTTGGCAAATAATTTTGCTCTGATTGAAATTCTGTTCGGTTTGCGTCGTTCCATTATTATTAAAATACGATGAGTGCACAGAGTAAAGTCGTCTCGACCTCCGGATGAAATCGGTCGATTTTGATCTCGTACAAAAGATTAGATTGCAATTTAATATATAGAAAACCATATTCATTGAGGTTTACTGAATCGCATACATGCGACGACAACCGGCCGACGTACAATTTTTTTTGTTACCTTCCATATTTCTCTCTCTAGTAGATTTTTTTAATGAACGAGTAAGCACAGCAGGTTTCGCATTATTGGTTCTTTTCTGCATACGTTTATTTGAATGACAGAGAGAGAGAGAGAGAGTTTGTCAAGCGATGGAAGAAATTTTCTCATGTCGACAAAAATTGCAAAGCGAATGGTTTTTGCATTGTTCATACCTCGTTGGTATTAAATATGGAATTTCAATTTGGTTAATATGGTACATTTCCTGCGTGTTTCACATAGAAATAAGGCGAAATGAAGAAAGAGACAGAGCAAGAATGAAATCAATTCACACAGTAAATTATGCAATTTCATAAAATGCAAAATGTTTTTTTTCGCCTCGTGTTCGTCCTTATTTCGTTCGTTGAATTCCAAATCCATGCACACGGGATATAAATTGTTTAATCGCATGGATCTAACCAAATGTTTAATATCTAACATTTTCAATATTATTAAATACCAGTTTGCCGTGATTGTTCGCAGTATATTTAGTTTTATCACCTGAGCACGGTTGCCGGGTGGCGTCGACAAAGAAAAATTATGAATCGGAGCACCGTGGATTTAATAACAAAATCGCACCGAGACACTAAACACCTATCCCCATAAAAAAAAAACCGACGAAAATGTCGTTTTTAATAATAATATAATTTACAATGTAAAATCATATGAAATAATAGATTCACTTAGATTCGCTCGACTATTGTCCAAAAAGATTAAAATATTTGGTAAAAGGAAAGATGAGTTTGTTTCGAAAAATATCCACCGAAAAGGATCATTGAGGTTAAAGCAGGCATTTAATTTGTGTTAAAATGTAAAAACTCCTTGGAAACGAGACAGGAATTTTAAGGGGTTTACTTCATTATAAATGCATTCCATAAAAACTTTCATAAGTTTTTTTTCCAACCATTCGCTCGTTGGCACTTCGTGATTCGGCAAGAATTCAATGAACACAATTTTTACTCCATCACTCTCTCTCTCTCACTTCCTCTTTCTCAATGTTCCTTTTTATCTCTCGCTCGAAAAAGTCATGTTTAAACCTGAATGAAATAAATTCAGCGTGATGAAAAATAAATCATAATTTTCCATAAATCCTTTTGAACATGTTTGCCTTTGATGTATATAAACATTTTAAGTCTATTGAAAAGTGATTTAATTTCCCTTTTAATCGCGCACCATGCGCGTAAATGGCAAATTAGTAAAATCTTATCCGTAGTCCATGGCTACCATTGCCAATCAGACTCGTTGAATTTGAAAAACTCCAAACGCATAATAATTTTCTCTCCCTGCCGGCGAAAAATTCACAGGTGAAATTCGATCAATTCAATTCAAAATCAAAACAAAAATTCTTGCAATTCACTCAACTGTAATACCGAGCACAGTCACAATAGTGACTTTCATTTCGATTCAACCAGACACAGTGTCTATCTATATCATACCCACATGTAATGTGAAGTGTTGAAACAAACCGATGTTAATTTGTCAAATTCGTTATGGTTGCATACGAGGAAAAATAATTAATCAAAAAAAAGTGAAGACGACGATGGTTTCTCTATTTTCTTGGAGTTCGAAGCTCTTTGCTTTATTCAGATCTCAATTCTCATGCCACGGTTCATACATGGAAATAATGATTGTAAAGTGAACAGTCAACAGTATTGAAGGCGTGCATTTTTCTGTGTTCATTGCACGGCAAATAATAAAGATGATTTTACAAGAATCGAAACAAAAAAAGGCAGCAACAACAGTGTTGAAGTTGAATGTTTGCATTTGGAATTGAAAGATGTTCGGAGCTTAGGTGAGTTAATGCAAATGCATGCACATAAAATGAAAATGCGCGCTCCATTTTTATTAGGTGTGACGACACCTGCGGAATGCTTGACTAAATATGCACACAAACAGACACTGGTGATTACGAGAGATGATCATCTCATATGATACATATATGTATTTTCATGTGTACTTTGCTTCCATTATTATGATGATTAACGCATCGTTTGGGTGACGGTTTTTATTTTCTCTCCACTCACTCTTGCACATCCATTTGTTTCTTTTGTGACCGTGTAATGCATAAAAAATATTGTTCGCTCATCGGCATCCATCCAGCACACTAATGATGCACACACACACACACGAATCTCTCGTACTTGCTGCTCTTTTGGTTTTCGGGCCTTTCCATCTCAGTTTCTCTCTGTCTCATTCGAAAATATCAACTGATGACATGAAAAGACACATTGTTAGTTGCCGAAGATACAAACATTTTTCGATTGTAAATGTTGAATGATGAATTCTATATTTATTCAAATCATCTTCGAAGCGGACTCTCACACATCGTTGCATGATTTTCAAAAATGCGGAAAAAAATTTATTATTTGAATTTGTTCTTCTTACAAGGCGTAAATTATTCATATATCGTTTCACATTCAAAATGACGATATATGATGGAGTACATTTGGTTGAATGCTCCATCCAAAAGTAAAATGATTTAGTCGCTATACATTCATTTTCTCAATGCTATCAAGAGATTATGCAAAACTCAGAATTGTATGCAAAAAAAAAATTGTTAACTTTTTTATCGTCGGATGTTTTTTTAATCTTTAGTCGTACTTATAAGCCCAGACTTATAATTGTAAAAAGTAGTGCACGATGTGCTGGAAAAAAGAGAGATCATTATCAGTGTGGCATCAGCGAGAACAAATGACCTGAAGTGACTCATGTCATTGGATTGATGGAATTGCGGCAGTGTTGATCGTTTATTAAATAAAATTAATGACAAGTAATGTATCTTCCTCCTTCACGGCTATTTGTGTCGGCTATATTTAGAGATTTTGTTTGTCGGCTGTATTCTTTACGCGGATTGGACGGTCGAATAACAAAAAAAATCGGCTTGAGACACGGTGTGATGAAATCACGAAAAAAGATAGTGACATTGCGAGAGTGCGTCGACACTCAAGTAAAAATGAAGCATTTTTACTGTT